GAGTTATATAATGTAATCTTGTGTTTTATTAAAATTGATTATAATTGATATCTCAAAAGGATATGCACTTGTGCGCAGCGTGAGCTGCCACGCAAGATTTTCATAAAATATTACTTGCCATTTCGTTTTTTTCTCACCAAACCCTCAGTATAAGTTCAGAATGCTTGGAATATACGGCACGAGATGCATAGGATTATTTTATGACAGATATGTATCCGCTTAAAAAAAAAAAAAAAAAAAATAAAGTCACCATTCTCTGCCATTAAATTGGCAAGCCCGAGCAGGACATTGCGATGTTGCGAAATTGCGATGGGTTAAATAAACTCAATAAGCAGACAGGCGCGACTACAGTCGAGCGCAGACCAGTATTGAAGTGCACAGGAAATAAGCAGGAGTCATATTTAAAGCAGTTTAAATTAATATTGAGTACTGATTGATGTTCACCTGGATTTTTCCCCCATCGAGGGAACTTAATACTCTGTCATTAGACGAGCTATTCATTAGTCTGCCAAACTCGTTTCTGTATCAAGATTTACTACCTACTAAAATAGTGCTTTTATGAACTAGAAACGACCTCAGAAACAGACTTTGTTGCATCATTTGTGTTTGTGTGCTTTTATCGACTTTAAAAGGCTTGAGATCAGTGTGTGTCAGACTAAAAAGAGACTTTGAAATGTAATTTTAAAAAGTTGGATCTGTGTGATGAAGCATGTGGGAAGGAGCAAGTTTTTTTTAAATGGAAAGTACATGAGCAAGAAAAGTTAGTTTTTATGTGGTTGATTTAGGTCAAAAATCATGTTATGTTAACATAAGTCTATCCCCAATTTTAGCAAAGTACATTTTTTAAACAAACTGCCTCCAAAAATTATTAACTGATTCATTTGAATAATCATTTAGTTGTGTAACTCATTGTTTGTCTTATATAATAGTGATGATTTACCTGTAAACAAAGATTATAATGCTCTGATTAGTCACCATCTAATGCCTTTTACATCTAAATATATAGGTTTAGCAAATTATGCATTGCATATGCTGTTATGCATATATCAGTAAGCCATGTGCTGTCTGTCTCCACTCACCCCGTATAACTCCAAAATAAAATAACTAAAATTAGCATTAGCTGGATTCTGTCTAGCCATCTGACAGTCATCATAGCGTCTCTATTCACTCTAGACTCCCACACAAGAGAGAAATGCCACTCATGGTTTCATCTGAGCCTATTAATTTAAATATAAACATCCATTTTAACATTTATCTTAAAGGGACAGTTCACCCAGAAATGAAAATTTGCTGTTAATTTACTCGCCCTCAGGCCATCCAAGATGTAGGTGACTTTTTTTCTTGATTAGAACAGTATATACAGTATAACAGTTAATGTTGTAAATAATGTTCAGTTTCTTGCACAGACCGATCGTTTCACTTCATAAGACCTCAATATATCGACAGGAGCCACGGGTATTCATTTTGTGTTCCTTGATATGCTTTTTTGACTCTCAAAGTGATGGTAGCTGCTGACTTGCATTAAATGAATCACCAAAGACCACGATTTCAGCTAAAAATCTTTACTGTTCTACTGAAGACAAAAAAGGCACCTACATTTTGGATGCCCTGAAGGGTGAGTAAACTAACAGCAAATTTTCAGAAATAAAAATTCTGCCATTCATTTTCAGTGAACTGTCACTTTAACCTTTCTTTTTTAAAGTGTTTTTTCTTTCTCTTGTGATCACTTTCTGTATGTCCCTCGCTCAAAACATTGGCTCTTGCTGACACAATGGCATGTGTTGTTTTTAGTGAAGCTTACCCTGTTTTTTAGGGCCTCAGATCAGACCGTTGTCCGGCTCAGCGCTTTAGGGACCTGACAACTGACCTGACAACTGACCTGGATTAGAGATCCAGAGAGACACAGGGACAGAGATCAAGATTCACAGTGGCAAAAGTGATAAGAATGTGGAGAGAAACACAAGATGAAAGTTGGTGGAGAAGTTCAATCTTTTGTTGATTTAAACCTAAAAAATGACAGTCAGATATATCACTGTACAGTGGCACATTGTTTGTAAGGGGAAAGACGAGTATGTCAAAAAAGACTGAGGAGTGCTGGGATGAGAAGGATGCATGAGAGTGAAAGAACAGCTGCTGAGATTTGTGTTGGGCGGCTCTCTGTGCTGATGAAGACAGACTGTGAGCTGATAATGAATGTGCTTCATTCTTGAAGATGATTGAAATGTTTGATCTGTATCTGTGTGGACATCTGCTGTCAAAAAACCCAAACAGTTACAGCTCAGAATGACGCAACTATGCCTGAAGATAGAACTGCACTTTTTTATTTAAAAAAAATAATTATATATATATATATATATATATATATATATATATTTTTTTTTTTTTTTTTTTTTTTTTTTTTTTTTATA